TGCGGTGGAGGAGGGGAGCTAAGCTCGTCGGGGTAAAAGGCTCGTAGGCCTGGAAATCCTCGGCCCGCGTCCCGGTGACGAGGTCCAGGAGCCGCCGTAATTGCAGAGGAGTGTGAACATCGCACAGAATGAGCCATTTGGATATGGCAGCAAATGGAGCAGCGATAATCCTCCGTGCCATCCACAGGGGGCAGAGGGAGTTTCTAAAGTGTGGTCTTAGGCGTAGCCATATTGCCCCAGAAAGCCACCTGTCAACACAGTCAGCTTTGGTAGTGGCGTCCCAGAGCCATTCTCAAAGTCGAGTCGCCTTGACCGTGTCGATTGAGCTGACGTCCAGCGGCGGCTGTGCTTGTCGCCATCCACCCGCGTTCGTCAAATATTTCGGCAATGTGCAAGCGTTCTAGCAGAACTGAAATTTGAACGGCTAGGTCGGGGTCTCGCCACTGGTTCACTCTGCCAATGTCTTCATGTGTTGCTCTTTCTTGTCCCGTTGACATATGTTTCTCCCGCGGTTGTCTGTTCTTGAGTCTTGCCATCCTGGGCGCAGCTTGAATGGCCTCGGGGCTTCTGGGTAGCGTGGCTTGGCGAGTGATGTCTGGGTCTCCGTAGAAGACTGAGTACTGCCGATTTCCTTGCGCGTCGAGCATTTGCACCATCAGATTTTGCAGCGCGCGGTCGATGTGCCCACCTGGCCGCCGCGCGGGGGCAGGCCATCCTTTTTCGGCTCGGTGTTCCATGACTATTCCCCCCATCTTGGCGCAAGCGAGCTCGATGGTGTCGACCGACGCCTCTCTCCAGTCGGCTTCCGCTGCGTTGATTGCTCTGGCGTCGAGTTGGTGGCACCCAAAGAAGTCAAGTAAACGCGCGCGTCCAGCTTCAATCGCAGCATCCCAGATGAAGGCGACAAGAATGATGTCCCACTTGTACATGCTGGGGAGTGGATGAGGCAATGCGCCAGCATACTTCCTGCATTTCGGATTCGATATCCTGGAGGCGCTTCCTTCCCCCACGTCCCACGAACATAACAGTAATTGCCTGCGTGGGCGGAGCTTCGCTATGAGCTGTATCTGTGATTCCCATGGCGGTGTCGACGTGTGCGCTCTCCTGCGCAGTTGGTGTGGTCATGCTCCTCCAGTGCCGAACGATGGCGCGCTCAATATATCTCCCGATGGGTTCGTCGTCGTCGAGTAGGAGCGCGAGGTCTTGGTGCTCGCCGAGCGCTAGAGTGGCGTATCCAACCAGTGCCTGAGTGGCCCATGCCCGTTTGGTGCTGGTCGTGCCGCGATCGTTGCGCAATCGTTGGACGTAGAGCTGATCGTTGGACTCAACCTGGTCAGCGACGAACATCCCAATGTGTTGTTGAAGCCGTGCGGTCTCAGCTGTTTGAAGTCCAAGCTGGGTCAAGTGACTGTAGGCAGAGGAGCTCCGTTGCGCAGGCTGGCTGCGCGTTCCTGCACTCCCGCCTATGATCGGGGCGAGTGCGGCCTGCGCCTAAGGCGACGCGAGTGCTTCGGGGAGCCGACCGGCGAGCTGTCCGCGCAGCCTTCCTTGCGAGATTTGGTTGTGCATCTCGCCGCGCATGTTGGTGGCCCACTCTGCGCTCGCTGCGCAGAGAAACGCGAGCGTGTCTGCGGTAAAGCGGAGATGGCTCTCAGTCGAGTCACGGTCTGCAGGCGCTGATGCAGCGCCACTGGTGAGATCCGCCCACGCCCCCAATAATTCGCAGACTAACCACGTTGGGGAGTAGTCTGCGGCGTTGTGGAGGTCCTGGTAGAGGCGGCAGGCGAAGGGGGCGAACCGTCGAGCTGCGTGGGCAAGAGTGGGGAGGATATCGTTGGGGAGTGTGTCGATTTGTAGGAAGGGCGGTCTCTCGCCATCGAGTTCGCCTGACAGCCGAGGGGCTGAGAATCTCGCGCAATGCGGGCATGATCCCGCAACGAGGCCCGGCGCCCGTAGGCGCCGAGGACCACGGAACAGGCATCGTTCATTCGGTGTGAAACGTCTGCCGAGATCTGGAATGGCTGCAACGCCGCCCCCGGGCCAGATTTGCCTGCACTCGTGGTCCTGTAGCGGCGGGGTGACGCCAGGTGCTGGAACTGCGTAATCATCGACAAGCCATTTCGGTTGCTGGGTTGCTCTCTGCGCGCCTGTTGTGATGGCGCGGTCGAAGGCGCTGGATAACGCTCCGCTGGCGCGTTAGCGGGGCCACCGTGGGAGCGGCGATGGCATCGCCAGGCGCGGAGCTCGTTGTGCGGAAGGAAATGGATGACGGACTGTCTCCTTTCATGGATCAGTAGCTGCAGCGCATTGTCAGGTGGCGATGCCTCTTCGCTGCTCTGTCGAAGACACGGCGTGAGTAGGAGGGCGGGAGCGGTCGTTTGAGGGGAGTGGTCCGCTCGATCGCCCCCTCGGACTTGATTGCCAGCTGCATTGCTGTCGATGCCGCAATATTTCTACGCGCGGCACATGCTGGCGCATTCTCTGTGGGCGACACATCTCTCTAGGTCAATGATTTCGTCGTCGTCAAGGCGTGGGCATGGATCGCCGTTGCTGATGCGGCGCGCAGTGGCGTGACGCATGGCGAGTAGCTGCGCTGGGCGTGGGCTGGCGCCTCCCGTTCTTCCTTCAGAGTCTTCTTCGTTTAGCGTCCAGACAAGGTGAGTGAGGTCCGTGCTCGTGAGGGTGGTGGGGGCAGGGGTCGCACCCAGTGTCGCGGGCTGCGAGAAGCTCGCGTTGACGACATTCAGCTACTGTGCCAGCTTGCGCCAGGATGGGGTGCAACTCTGGGTGGCTCTTCCAGGCGAAATGGGCCAGTAGTTGCAGTCGCACGGTGTGTTTGTTTTTTTTTGTGTTTATATATATATAAACAAAAAAATCGTCGGCGTTTGGCCAGAGTGCGGGAGCCAGCTCCCTTGTGGGAAGGGCGCGCCTTGTATCAAGTCTCCGATGCAAGGACCCCGTCTGCTCGCTTGAAAGAGATCCTGTTCATCGAGTCCACGTGGGGTTGCGCTGCGGGGTCCAACTCTCGGGCGGTTGCGACGGCGTTGCAGTGGCTGACGTTATTGTGGAAGGTTGCGTTGGCAGTCGTGCGCTGCTTCGAATCTGGCGCGGCGGCGGAATGGGTCGGCGCGGTGGAAGAGGGGGGGGGGGGGGGCGCAGGGGGGGAAATGAGCTGTCGCGGCTTCTTCCTGGGTCGGAAGCAGGGCGTGAGGGCCCAGCAGGGCTGCTTCCATCAGCGTTATGTCTGCGAGGGGGAACCGAGGTAGGGCGATGCGCCTGGGGGGTAGATCGCGGTGGCTGCGCAGTTGGGATCAACTGGCATGTCAGTGGCGACCTCCTGCTCAGTGGGGGCTGGGAGTGGAAGGCTTTGTGGAGCGTTGAGGGCTTGCTGCGCCCCGAGCAGGGCAGCGTTCGGGTCGAAGGCGGCAGCGGGGGTGAGAGAGCGTGATGGCTGGGCGTCAGCGCGGGCATTCGTGTCAGGCATGTCGGGCTGTCGCGCGTTGTTGTCGTCCTGTGTGACGTGACGAACTTCATTGGGCGTCAAAGTCGGAGAGGATGTGGGAGGGGGGCAGCCAACGGGAGCGTGGGGAGAGGGCTGGTTGTCGGGCGTCTGCTTAGTAGGTTGTTCGAGGGCTGACTGTCCTTCGGGGGGGGGGTCAGAGAAGCATTGGGAGGCGCGTGGCCCTCCACGGAAGGGTCGCATGCTGTGCCGGCGGAGAGTTGCTGAGGGAGTTGCTGGCCTTGCTGCGCACAGTCCTCCACGGTTGGGCGACTAACCGTCGCTTCCAAGGTGACAGCAGTCGAAGCGGCAGCGGGGGGGAGACAGGGAGCGCAGCTGACCGCCGCTTCACTGGAAGAGAAGGGGACAGACGCAGTTGGCATGCTATCAGGAGAAGGGGGGCGACTAACCGTCGCAGCCTTGGAATGGCCAGGAGAGGGCAGGCAGTCTCTTTCGGTAAGCCGTCGTCTCCAGCGACAAGGCGCGGTCCGGGGGGATCAGGCTGATCCTCGATCGGTGTGCCCCCGCCGATCTGGTCGCAGCTCCCGCTAGCCCGGTGTGTGCCTTCATCGGTACCGTTCCCTGTGTGGCGACTAACCGTCGCGGACAGAAGAAAAGATGAGGTACCATGAGCAGAGGCAGAGTTTCCCTGTGCGCCGTCGTCTCCAGCGACGGGATCTGGTCCAATTGATACTGGTTGACCCTCATAGTGCCGATTTTGGATCCTGCCCGATGTGTAGATCGATGCTTGTACCCGCTGGCCGACTTCGTCCAGGGGACCATCGTTTGGCTGCTCATCAGACAGCGATAGAACCCCCAGGTCCTGCACTAGTCCGTCGCAATCCGCCCTGGTGACAATTCCCTGGGTTTCGTCGCGATCGCGGTCTGAATTCTCTTCCATCCCCGGTGGCTCTAGGGCGGTGGCGAGATGGACAGGAGGCGCTCCGAGGCCTGGCAGCAGCCCGCTATCGCACGTGACCTGACACGGGCGGGCACGGGGGGCCGCGGCGGCCCAGGCGGTGCGTCGGGCGCCCCCTCGAGAGCGGGGGTTGCCCGCAGACGGCTTGAGCCAAAATGGCTACGGACTGGTAGGGATATTTTTTTTGGTTGGCGGCTCCAGGACCAGTGTCAAGAAGCGGGATAAACGACTGGGGTACAGGCCGTAGATAATTGGCCAAAGCGGCGCGTAAGCCGCAAAGGCGAGTGCACGCGCAAGGGACAAAATGACCCTCATTAGAGGTGATGCAAGGGACAAAATGACCCGAATTGAGCACAGCGGACCGACGCCGTCATCCCGTCGGGTGTAGACGCCAGTCGCACCAGCGTGTGGGAAACACGACGCAGCGAGCGGCAGCAACGGCTGTACGGCTAGGCCATGTGTAGACTGGTAGGTTGAATGTGAGAGAGAAAGGGAGGGACAAGGGACATGCAGACAAGGCAAGTAAGAAAAGAGAGAGAGAAAGAGGGAGACGAAACTGATAGATTGAGAAACAATGTAGACAAGAGGAAGAGAAAAGGGAAGAGAGAGAGGGCAGAGAAGAAGCGGAGATTGAATGCGCAGGTCAAAATATTTCAGCCGAGCGCTCTATAGCCTCAATCTACAGGAGACGCAGTCCGCAAGAGCGCTGCTTGCAGTGAATCGCCGGATTCGAGAGAGTTGCCCCGGTCAATCGCCTCGAAAGAGATATCCCGCCCCTGAAGGTCTGAGGTCAGCCTGAGGCAAACGCGCATTTGGAAGTTCAGCACAACAATCATAATTAAGAAGCAAAGAACTCGCACGAGAGTGTTTGTCCGTCAGTGCCCGTGTACTGTTCGAAGGCTGCGGGGCGAAATCTGTTCATGAGACCTTCCAGCGACACCATTCGTCGTCAGAGATGGTTTGTCCATGGGGCATCGGTGGAGAACTCGAACACTGATAAACTAAAACGCTCCGGGCTTCCGAAGATAACCATCTTGCCATACGAAGCGAGGCCGTATAGAAAAGAAGACGCAGGATACTGGGTGTGACGTGGGGATACAAAGCTGTGGAATCACGGGTAAAAACACCGCGGCACAAAGGGAAGAGAGCCAAACGAAGGAGAACAAAATGAGCGGAGGAACTGTGTCAACGCAAGTACACCGACCCTGACACTGACTGGGATTCTATGTATACATATATGTACACACGCTTACATATGTACATGCTTGCCAGCATGAACCCCAAACAGCGATTAGTACAAGGCCAGCTTGAAAGATGGCCAAGATGGCTCAGGATTCTTTCCAAGTCGGTCCAAGACGGTCCAAGATGGACTCCAGTACGCTTCCCAGACGACAGAGATGGCTCCCAGCAAGCCCCAGATGGCCCGAGATGGCCCCAGCAAGGTCCAAGAGGGGTCTCTTGGGCCGTCTTGGAGGCTTTGGGGGGTCGGCCCAAGACGCCAAAATCCGCGAAACACCCATGTATGATTGATTGCGCTTCGGGATATCGCCGTTTCGGTGTCAAAAGCGCTCATGGATTCGAGACTGGACACCACCTGGGAATAACAAGGGCATCCAGTGTGTAAAGGTAGCCCATAGTGCAGAGGGGACCTGGGTGCCCGATGGGCGGTGGTCTGCTGGACCCTTGGCACCAATGGGGTCGCTTCTCGAAAGGCGCAGGGGTGTCCCGTGGAAAGTCTGGGCCATGGCTGTTGGTACCGAACGATGAAAACAATGACACCATTTTTTTCAAGTAACGACTCTGCGTGTCGCAGGTCACAAAGGACGTACACCATATACCTGAATCTGTCATGTGTGACGGCCCTAAAGGGCCCCAAGAGGACCTAAAGAAGACCCAGGATGCCCCCAAGAAGGACCGAACGGCCCCAACACAGCCCGATGACGGCCACGGAGCCCCCCCCCAGCGCTCCCCCAGTGGTCTCCCCAACAGCTGGATGGCCACGCAGTCCACCAGCAGGCCGCACGCTCAGTCGGCGCTTCACTACACAAGCGCTTCCAAAATGCAGGGGACGGCGGTGACTCGCCACAAGCGTCTTCGATGTGCCCCAACCCATACAATCCCAACCCGACCCATGCCATCTGACCCGATCATTGCCCTGCGCAAGCACGTCCAGCTCAGAGAGGTAATCCTCCGCCTCCTCCTCCTCCTCCTCGTCGTCCTCCTCCTCCACTCCTGTATCCTCTTACTAACTGGTCTTGCTTAGAGCGCCTCCTCTCGGGTGTTCGTCAACGGGGGGGGGGCATGAGCGCTGGGTGAAGAAACGTGCACATGTCGTGTATCTATTATGCCCGCGGTCGCAACTTAGGGGCTGTATGGGCCAGTGTAGGCCTGCTTTCCTGTAATCCTCGATCCCCCCCGTTTATTGCCCCCCCCTCCCTGCCCGATCCTCCTCGTCTTGCCTCATCCCCATCCCGCAAGTGGAGCACCTCCTTCGGTGCTTCAGCGTCTGCTTGAGCCACGCCTCCAACTTCTCCGACCTGTAGCTCGCCGCGGGGCAGAGCAGGGGGTCGTCCGCGAGCGAGACGAACAGCTCGGCGATAGCGCCATGGCTGCAGGGGGAAGGGTTCAAAAGCATCCCCGTTCCCCATCTCATTCCCTCCGGCACTCCCCAGGGACGAAGTGGGAAATGAAGCGGAAGTAAAGGAAGAACAACTGCATACTCATTAAAGTTCGAAGTGCCGAGCGGGTGTCTTAGATTGGCGCTTGGGTCCCCTGGCGGCGTCTCTGGCACCGCCTTGGCGCGCTCCGCCTGCCAGGGAGGGGGGGTGGGGTGGGCCAGCAGCGATCCAAGAAATCCGTTCGGAGCACATGTTTTTGTTTAACAAATTTGTGTGTATTCCTACTTGGGTGTCTGGGCCGTCCGTCGTCTCTAGAGTGTGCTTGCACTTGTATGCTGTAGTGTTGCACAGTAACTGTCTTATGTTGCTCATAGCTTTTTCGGTTCGAGAGATTAGGGCTCCAGCGAGCCCAGCACCCACCGAACCGAGGCATTAGCCTGCTTCCTGCGGTGCGCGCGGTGCGCGCCGATGGGGACCACGACGAGTGGGTGGCTGGCCGCGCTGGCCATCATCTGCGCCCAGGAGTTGTACTGCTGGCTCCCCGAGGGGGCGTCATGTCGGTGCTCGAGGACCGAAGGTACCCCCGCCGAGGAGGAGCGAGCTTCACGGGTACGGTCGCATCCAGCTTTCCGATGGCGCTGTGGTCGAAGTGGAATCACGCGCAGCCCCTCCAAGCCGCAGGGAGTGGTGATGCTCTTGGCCACCAGGGTGGACCCCAAGCATCCAGGGACCTGGGCGGCAGCCTATCCGACCAACCGCATCGTGCCGATCGACGTGTAGGACAAGAAGAGGCTCCTGACGAAGCCCATCGAGAAGGCTCGCGACTCAGCCATTACGGCGGCGGAGAGGGCGATCGCGAGGCTCGAGGTCGAGGAAGGCAAGCTGACGAAAGGTAGCAAGAAGGCCCCGCCCTAGAAGAAGAAGAAGAAGAAGAAGAAGAAGAAGGGTGCGGGCCAAGGTTTCACTACGTGGCTGGCTGGCGGTGTCGGCAAAGTGTTCACGGCGTTGTGGGCGAAGAGAAGCCAGAGATCGTTGGGGGCCATATCGTTCATAGGCTGGAGATTGTGGCGCTTCTTCCGACTGGGCTCTGTGTTTCGCGCGGCCAACGACGGCGCCAGGTCGATCTACGAGACTGTCGAGGATGTGCAGTCCCTCCTCGACACTGTGTAGGTACCACGAGTTGGGGGACGTCTCGCGTTGGTCCCTGGCACCCTTGTCGCCGGCTACCTCCTCTGGGCCTGGTCGTACGGGAAGGAGACTCCGACTCGGAGAAGGGGTCGATCGGTCGATCGCGAGCGACGACGACGAGGACTTGGCGTGGGGGACGCAAGTCGCCAATTCTGACAACGAGCCCACTCCTCGGCGCTTGTTCGCGGAGCCGTCGAACCAGCAGCAGGCTCTCCAGCGAGCGGTGAATGACCTCAGGGGTGCCTTGCAAAGTTCCCCGAGGAGCACACCTCTGGGGACGCAGACCGCGGGAGCGAGTTCGGGCAGCGGTGATCGGGGGTTCAACTCGGGGCAGTCTTCACCCGAGGCCGTGCGAGGCGCGGCCGAGGGAGACGCCCAGCCCAACCCATCGCAGATTGACGACCTCATCGCGAAGCTGAATGAGCACGAGGCGGCGGTGAAGCAAGAATCCACCCTGGCCACTGCGGGGTTGGGATCGTCCGCGAACTCTATCGACAATGCCGGGTCGTCGGAGCGCATCGGGCCACGGGATGAGGAGCTGTAGGATCGTATCCAGGTGATGAAGGACGAGAGTCGCAACCCTCACGACGGACTCCTCGCCACTCTCGAGAAGTTAAAGAACGTGCGTATGGCCCCGGTCGGAGGAGTGAAGACGAGGGTCGCGCCGACCGTCCTCCAGAAGCAGTACCGCTCGGGTCGCACGGCCAAGGTCGAGCTAAGCGAGTGGTTGCGTTCGAAGGAGTTGCAGAGGGTGAGCATTCGCAGTGAGGTGATGATGTTGGCGATGGACCTCGACCGCATGATGTCGGAGGGCCTATGACCAGCTCATCAACAACCCAGCCGCGGAGCTCACGTGCCCTACGCGATCTGCAAGGCCTACGAGAACGTCAAGTGCATGCATGACTGGCAGAAGCCAAAGGGACAGCAGAGTGGCAGCAAGTTGCGGTCCAAGGTCGACTGGGCGCTGGCGGACGAGTACCCCAAGGTGGACGGGGACCAAAAGCTCATCAACCTGAATGCCGACGACGAGGTGACGGAGAAGTTGACGCGGAGGGCGACCATCGTGAAGCACCTATAGGGCGCCAAGGACGGCAACGCGGCGGGTGCGGCACACGAATAGGTTGCGGCTGGGGCTCCCGTGGCAAGTCCTGGCCAAGCGCACGCTCAAGGCGTAAGGCCACAACTCTGGTGGAAGAAATTGCTGCTGGACTTCCCCACCGCCTTCCGCTCTCCCAGGAGCTCACGGACCGTCGAGGTGGCGGGCTGGTACCTGGTCATGACTCCATTGGTACTCTACCTCGGGGGCGTGGCGCAAGCCGGCGTTCAGGGCCGCGAGCGTCGCCAGCTGCGCGCCGCTGGCCGCGTGGAACATGTACGCGGACCCAGACTCGGGCACGGCGTCGTTTTCTTGTGGGCCCCCACCACCTCCCAGGACCCGTCTGCGCTCACGGACACGGAGCGCCCGAAATGGGCGCTGGCGGCCCCGTCCGCGGCCACGAGCTTCGCCAGCTGCGCGCCGCCGGCCGAATCGAACACGTATGCGGACCTGGGCGAATGCCCGGCGTCGATGTCGTAATAGGCCCCCACCACCGCCCAGGTCCCGTCTGCGTAAACAACCGCAAAAAATCCGAAGCAGTCGTTGGTGGCCGCGTCCGCGGCCACGAGCTTCGCCAACTGTGCGCCGCTGGCCCCGTCGAACACGCACGCGGGCCCGGATCCGTGTTCCCAGGCCTCGGCCCCCACAACGACTCGGGCCCCGTCGCCGCTCACGGCCACCGAGCGCCCGAAGTGGTGCCAGCGTCGTCGTAGCGGGCCCCACACTGCCACCCAGGCCCCATCGGCGTTAACGGCTACCGAGCTCCCGAAGCAGTCGCCGCGGAAAGATTCCAGAGCCACGAGCTTCGCCAACTGCGCGCCCCTGGCCCCGTAAAACACGCACGCAGACCCCGCAGCGTCGCCGTCCCTGTCGGCCCCCACCACCGCCCCGGTCCCGTCTGCGCTCACGGCCAAAGAGAGCCCGAAGTAGTCCATGCCCTCCCCGTCCGCGGTCAGGAGCTTCGCCAGCTGGGCGCTGCCGGCGTCGAACACGTACGCGGACCCAGACGCGGTCCTGGCGTCGTCGTCCCACAAGGCCCCCACCACCATCCGGGTCCCGTCGGCGCTCACGGCCACCGAGTTCCCGAACAAGTCGTCTGTGGCCCCTTCCGCGGCCACGAACTTCGTCAGTAGCATAACGTCGAATTTACCAATCATCCAGCGGCTGAGCACATAATCGAAAGTACCCGTCAGAGCTGGTGTCGGTAGTGCTGGTGTCGGTGGTGGAGAGGGCGTCGGCGATGGTGCAGTGTCGATGGTGGTGCAGGCGTCTGCTGGTTATTGAGGTAGGTACAGGCCCTGCTGGTCGTGCACTCCCAGTTCGCCACAATGTCACTGATCGCGCTGTAGCAACACCGTACACCAGTGCCTGTACACGTGGTACCACAGGGCATGGCATGACAATCAGGATCTGCCTTGCACGCCGCTTCAGCATCACTCCTGGAGGACGTTTTGCTGTAGCATCGACCCAATCACGCAGAAGTGGCCACTCGCGGGCCATCAATGTACAATGATTCGGTGGTAGCGGGGATCTCCGTCGCATTGCTGGTGACCGTTAAGAGACACATCGGGATAAAGATCAGCATCACGCGTGCTTGGATGAGCATCCTTCCAGGCATTGACGGCGACCTTCCAAGAAATTCCAACGCTGTGCTGTTGCTGCTGCGAGTGAAACGGGTGGTCCTGCGAGTGGTGCTGGTGGTCAGAGTCGCGCTGATCACACGGGTGCTGCTGGTTGCGCGGGTGCTCCCGCACGTGGTGCGGCCTGTGCGACTCATGGTCGTCACAGTGGCGCTGCTGGTCGCTCTGGTGCTGCTGCGACCGGTACGGCTCGTCCCCACCGTGCTGGGCACCTCGAAGAGCGCGGCCAGGGCGTAGGGCACGTCGTCGAGCTTCGGGCCGGACGAGGGCTCGGCGGACCCGGGAACTGGACGCACTCAGGGAAAAGTAACCAACGGTCGCGTGCACGGGAACGCATGGTATCACCGCTACCCTGGACTTCGGACGGAGCCGCAGGCAGCTCGGACCACCGCTACTTGAGCCAAAATGGCTGCGGGAGCCGTCCTGCGCCATATTGGGGGCCCTCGAACTGTTGGGATTCTATGGGGCTGTCCTGAGCCACATGGGGGCCCTCCTGGGGTCTCCGTGGAGCTCTTCTGGGCGCTCTTCGGCGGCTCTTCGGCCCATCCGAGACTGTCTGGGAGCCAGACTCTGTCGAAACATACGAAATCCGATAGGTGTCCAAAACCTAGAGGAAATCCTCAGGCTTGTGATTGATTCGAATCGACTCGGAGTCATCTTAGGGCCCTCTTGTATCCTCTCGGCGCCGTGTTCGGGTCATCTTATGAGTTCTTGGGCCCTCTTGGGCTCTCTTGGATTTGTGACGAAGCCCTGTTGGGGTATGGGGGTGGAACCTCGGGGCGCTTGTGGCTCCGAGAGCATCCCTGAGAGAATATGGGGGAGCCTTTGGGGACGCTCTGGGAGGGGCGGGGAGCCCTTGAAAGTGTCTGGGTGCCTCCTGGGGGGGGGGAAGCCCCGGAGCGGGATGGAAAATCATGAGGGGTATGGCTGAAGCGCCAGCTGTCGGCGTGCCCCCTCTGTCTAGGCGGGGCACCCAGTGCCCATAAGATTGGGCACCCCCTGTCCACAACGAGGAAGGTACCCCTTGGAGGTCACAGGACTGGGATCCTGATGTACTCGCGGTCGAGCCCGAGCTTGAGCGTCTCCATCAGCGCGACGCGAAGTTTGTCCGAGTCAGCCGGTTCCTCCAGAGGATGTAACGGCGACGTTCGAACATGTGGAGGGGAAGTGGTATTGCAACAAAGGACGGGAAACCACGCAGCATTAGTTCTGCTCGTGAAAGAAAGATGGGGAGAGCAAGGGGAAGAAGGCGAGCAAGGGGAAGAAGGCAGAGGAGGAAGAGAAAGAGAGGAGGAGAAGCAGGAGGACCAGGAGGAAGCGGACAGACGGACAGGAGCAAGGATGTGGAGGAAGGAACGAAGGTGGAGCGCCAACGCGCACGACGAGGTGCCAACCGTCAGCTGTTGGCTGGGCACTCGCGCCGCGCATAATAGGCAGCGTGCCCATAAGGCAAGCGCACGACATGATCATCACTTTCCTGCACGGGCCGAGCGCGGGCAATTGGCGGGCCCCTGCAGCATCGGCGCCCAGGCCTCTACCG